GGGAAGGGGGTTTATTTTGTAAATGTTATAAAACTTTTAATAAAAAAAAAAGAATGGTTGCAGGAATTGGATATGTTTAGTTTAATGAAGAGAAGGACTAGAGATGACATGATAGCAATGTTCCAACATCTCAGGGGTTGCCACAAAGAAGAGGGAGTCAAGCTATTCTCCAAAGACCTGAAGGCGGGACAAGAAGCAATGGATGGAAGCTAATCAAGGAGAGAAGCAACCTAGAATTAAAGAGAAATTTCCTGATAGTTAGAACAATTAATCAGTGGAAAGACTTGCCTCCAGAAGTTGTGAACGCTCCGACACTGGAAGTTTTAAAGAAGAGACTGGACAACCATTTGTCTGAAATGATATAGGGTTTCCTGCCTGAGCAGGGGTTGGACTAGAAGACCTCCAAAGTTTCTTCCAACTCTGTTATTCTGTTCTGTTAACATTAAAATATTCATTTTGAATTCCTGCCAAAAAGGTCATAAAGTTCACTAAACAACAAAATAGTCAGGAAGCAGATCTTTTCCCAATTCTGTTGATCCTAACCTACTCCATTCCAGAGGAAAAATGCACTTCTTTTACCTGATGATGTTGAGTCTTCATTAAACTCCCCCAAAGCCACAGAGTACCCTGCATGGAAGGAATGAAATCAAATGAAAAGCAATGAAATCAAAATAATCCATAGGGAATCGAGCAGGATGACAGTGCTCCTGTCTGCAAATATTGTAAGTCATTTTGGACAGGTTTGACCATCTAGATATCAGGCAATTTTTATTCTGCTCACCTCAGTATGTGTTTCTACATAGCCTTTGTCTGAAATCATCTGGTCTCCAGGTTCCACGATTTTAACATGGCAGAACCATAACCTCAACTGCCCCAGCTGAGAACTGTCTTTTGCTTAAGGTGGGGGTCCAACCCCCAGGCCGCAGCCCACTATTGGGCCACAATCCATTCGGAACTGGCCTGCACAAGCTTCAGATGAGCGTGCATGTGCAGCTCCATTTGTGTGAGTGGTGGGTGTGGTCTCCCATCGCTTGCACATATGGAGTTGCACACGCTCCCCTGTGTGATTGCCATTCACACAAAACCATCCCCTCCCCCCCCATCGGTCCACTAAACTGGAAATGTTGGGGACCACTGGCTTAAGGCATACATATAACATTTTTTTCTTCTGTTCTATTGTGTCAAATTATTGGAGACTGCCTGGACTAATCCCTGCAGTTTTCTTTGCCAGGTTTTCATAAGTGGCTTGTCATTGCCTCCTTCCTGGAGCTGGGAGAAGATAACAATCCCAGCTTGCTTTGTGCCCAAGACGGGACTAGAACTCAAGGCTTCCTGGTTTCTAGCCGATGCCTTAACCACTGCACCAAACTGGCTCTCACCTAGAGTATATATTCATCCAGACAAGAGCAGACATCAAGAATAAGATCTTGAGCACAGAATTCTCCATCCTGAGTATTTCAGATTTCATACTAAACTTCCCTGGGCTATGCCACAAAATGGGGTGAGTGGCCTATAATGCTTCTAAATGAATGGATATCTTTAAAGATATTTATTTATTTATTTATTTATTTATTGATTGATTGATTGATTGATTGATTGGCTACCTACCTGACCATAATGTAACTCTGGGTGGCTTACAGTTACATCTTAGCTAAAACATAAAAAGTTAAAATCAAACCTTAAAACCAAAGACACACGGGGAAAGGCTGGAATGAAGTGGCAAGTGGGATCTGTTATTTCTCAATCAACCACTTCCATTGTGCTGTTTCCCCACTGGGGCCCCAAGCCAATTGGCAAAGCCACGTCTTTAGGCCCTTACGAAAAAATAGGAGGGTTGGGGCTAACCTCACTTCGGGGAGCAAGATGTTCCAGAAGCTGAAAATAATATGCGGGTAGCATATGATATATTTCTGAAATTAAAGAGAGATAATTTCTCAGGAGGGAATAACAACTGAAAATGTAGGCCTATGAAAAGCAGGGTTTAGGACATTATTTTGAAAGGGAATAGTAACTGCTGTTTACTAAAAATTTAAACTGATTTCACAACAGTGTGGCATGTCAAGAAAGGTCAGGGCCTAAAGTAGCAAGGTAGGTAGGCAGGCTTTTCTCTCTTTTGTTCCCTCATTTTCTCTCATTTTTTCTTTTTTCAGCCAGCCAGGATGTTTCAAGGAGATGGATTTGGCATACAGTTGAGCTAATCTCTTGTAGAAGCCATTTGAACAGGAGTGTTCACGGTAGTCAATTGACTAGGCAATTTACATGCCTCTATAGGCCTTCAGTTTCAGTAATGTCTATCATCTTGATTTTTTTTTATCCTTCCTCCATGTAAACCTGATTTAGAATTAGGTCAAGGGCCATTTCTAGTATGAAAGTGGTTGATGGTTCACTTTTAGCATATCAGCAATGAGCAAGAAGGACTGGCATAGCTAGTTTTAGCCAGAGAAACCTCATTTTGTTGAAAAACTTTCATGTTTCTCTCTTTGGGGCCTCTCATTCTTGGGCCTCACATCCTTACCTTAAGATTCCTGGAAGGCTACCTGATAGCCTGATCAAGGAACTCAAACCAGGCCAGCAATTGGTTCAGGGCTAAAGTCCCTTTCCTATTGCAGATAAATTAGCTACAAAGTTTTGCATACTTCATTATCAGCTTTATCGGTTAGGGTCAAAAGTGTGAGGGCTGTGATGTTTTAGTAAGGAACCCATTTTCTGGGAGGATAATCTTCTACCAGGGGTGTGGATATTTTGTCATTTGTTACCTATGGTTTGCTAATGAACATGTGCTTTTGTTTTCCAAAAGTGTAAAAAAAAACCTATTCTAATTTGTGTATTGGGGGGCTCACAATTTGTGATGTAGTCCCAGGAGCACACTTATTTGCGCTGTACAGAATAAATAGATTTCCTACAGAATAAATAGGTTTCCTATTTATTGGCTACTTTGCACCAGAGGAAAACAAATCCAGCATTTGACTGGCCAATTCATGGTTTGGCGATCAAGCACAAAGGAAAAAGAGGTGCCTGGGGGAAAAAAGAGGAACATTTGCTAAGTATTTTAGGCCCAAGTTCTAAACTTCTCTGGTACATGCCACCTTGACTGTCTGTATGCACCCAGAGTCTGCTGAAGGAAAAGAATGCCAACTCACCCCGGTATCCATCCTGGTATTTCTTCATTCTATAATCCTCTGTTACCAGTTCTGAGCTCACGTACCACAGCAAAGCAGAAGATGAACGAGGATATTTTATTTCAATCTCTGATAGGGCAACTGAATAGAACAAACCTAAAAGAAACCAAGCAACACATTTCTCTATAATGGCAGCAGGACTCTAATTGGACAAAGCAAGATAGGAGACTGCAGGTCCAGAACATCTATGTAAGTATTTCTCAACCTGAGCAGCTTTAAAATGTGTGGACTTCAACTCCCAGAAATCCCCAGCCATATCTACTTCCTTTCCTGTTTCTGACCTCATCAATACCATGATGGATCTGAGCAAAAGCCTTTCAGTCTAGCATTTTATTTCTACAATAGTCATAAGATATCTGCCAATATCCACAAATATAATTAGTACAATGGGTCTAATTGAGTAGTTGTACTCAATGGGTAGGTACAATTAGACCCATCTCCTTCAGAAACTAGCTAACAGATAGCCCTGAACATATGACCACAGTTGAGCACAAAATTTCCATTGCTAAGCGAGGCAATTAAGTGAGCTGAGTTTCATTTTATAACCTTTTTTGCCAATGAATCATGTGGTCATTAAGCAAATCTGGCTTCCCCCATTGACTTTGCTTGTCAGCAGCCGGATGGGAAGATTACAAATGCTGATCATATGACCTGGGAGAGGGCAACTGTCATAAATACATGCAGGTTGCCCTATTCAAATTCTGATCGTGTGACCAGTTTCTAAGTGTGAAAAATGGTTACATGTCACTTTTGTCAGTGCTGTTGCAACTTTGAATGGTTACTAAATGAATGGTTGTAAGTCGAGGATTACCTGTACTGCCTCTGATACTGGGCTGATACTAGTCATATAGCTACTATCTTCATCCATGAATGATATTCAAATCAGATGTCTGTAGTAGTAGTACATTCAGCTCCCCTCCCATAATGCATGAAGGAGTTCTTCTTTCTGCCTGTCCTTCCCATTTTCTAATTTAATAGTTTTAGCTTTACGTCTAAGATTGTGAGGTTGGGAAAATAAAACATCACATGGTATATTATATTAGTATTAAGGCCTCCTACACCCTTACTTGTTTTTCCCCTTAAGCTAAACAGTACAACTTTTCCTCACAGAGGGTGATGCTCCAATTCATTGCTATTTTTCTTGCTTTTTGGCAACTTCTCAAGATCTGCAGTATCCTTTTTGAAATGATTGACAAGAACAGGACCTAGTATTTTGAGGTTTCTTGGTGTTCACAACAGTTGATACATTTACCTGTGAAGTAATATCCACCTGGTGCGCCAAGCAACACCCTCCCAGACTGTGGGAAGAAGACAAAAATAAGGGGGGGGGAAGTATAGTCTTCAAGTCAGTCAGAGTACTAGAAATACCTAAAAATTCAGAATATGTGTTATGTCTATTTCACAATCAGGTTTTGCTTTTATCTTCCTGAATTTTGCAAAAAGGAGCATGAAAAAGATATGTTTGGATTATGATCCAGTCATTATGGCATATAAACCATGGCATAATGGCTGAGTGTAAGAACAGGATCCATTCTGGGTCAATCACTGGGACCAGAAGTTTAGATCTCTGGTCCCGGTGACCAACCCAGATTGGATTCTGCAACATTATCCTGGGACATATAAATTTGCCTTCATTCATGAATGCAAGAACAATTATGGTTTATGCAACAACAAAACATACGTTAGTGAAGTAAATCAACCTAGCTTTTATATGCCTGTTTCTTTCTGCCTGCCTGTTTAGGACTTTGCAAGAAAGATTCATGTCCACTATCAATGTTTCCAGCTTTTAGTGGGTAGATATTTGGTGTAAGCTGGCTGTATGTCACTGAAGTGGAGAAATAACTACTGTGCTGTCTCTTTACAGATAGCTTTCTTCAGAACCATCTCGAATCTGCTAATAATAACAAAATTAGTATTGTAGAAGCTCCTATTGTCTGGCAAGCTTGTTCACATGACCACTTAGTCATATGATCATGGCAGCCAAGGCTAAAAGTAATTGAACACCATAGATATATATTGTTGAGTTACATACCCCTGTGGGGCACAGATATCCATAGCAAACAATAATAGTGTCAAAATGATTTGGGTATCATGATGCCATTGTCAAATGATATAATTATGTACTTACACCAACCAAGTCACATTGTTTGTGTGATGGCACATATGCTCCCAATTTCTATTCCCCCAACCACCAAGAAGACCAAAAGGTACATATCTCATTGCTAAGAAAATCAATTTTCAATTGTCATCTCCGTCAATGTCTTCAAGAGGCTGGCACACATATAATAGCGTTTTTACTTTACAATCAGCTGAATCAGTGTCTTACCTCCCCAGATTACCAGAAACACAGGAAGCATTTAAGTTTGTACAAAGTTATAGGCAATTCCATCAGTATTTTATCCTAGAGTGTTTTCTAGGGGTAACTGTGCTACTCAGTCACTTGGTGTTTATAGAATGGTTGTCTCTTGATCCTTCTCACTGCTCCTTGCATTTTTCCCCTGCAAAGCTCACCTGAGAGATGGTGAAGCTGAATCCAGTTTCACAGTAGCGCTTGTCATTTCCTGATGAAATAAACAGATGAGAAGCTCAACAATCATGTGACATTAAAGAGCATTTCTTAGGAGGATTTTGATGCTCTTCCCTAACCCATTTTTCAAGCTTATTCATTCTGTTGGTAGCCTAGGCCAGCCATGCAATTGGTGCATCAACTGCCAAGGACAGATTTCATTTTTTTTTCTCCTTAGAATTTTAGTATTCTAATTATCTTAGGGCCTGGGTTGACTGCCTGCTTCATGTTGGTATATTTTGATAATCTCTATAAACATTGATAATCTTCCTATAACAGACAGGCCATTTTTGCAAGGAAGATTATAGCCTTCATGGCAGCTTGTCAAATCATGCATAGGACAGTATTGTCATGGATAAATCCCTATTTTGTAGTACAGGTAGTCCTCAACTTACAATCATTCATTTAGTGACTGTTCAAAGTTGTAACAACACTGAAAAAAATGACTTATAATAATTTTTCACGCTTACCACTTTTGCAGCATCACATGAACATTTTTCACATGAACAAAAATTGAACATGCATGTATTTATGATGGTTGCAATGTCCCATGGTCATGTGATCACCTTTTATAACCTTCTGACAAGTGTGGAAGCCAGTGTTACTAACTTAGCAACTGCAGTGATTCGCTTAACAACTGTGGCAAGAAAAGTCATAAAATGGAGTAAAACTCACTTAACAACTCTCTTGCTTAGCAATAGAAATTTTGGGCTCAATTATGGTTGTAAGCCAAGGACTACCTGTATTGTGCTGACTGCATAATCATTTAATACATGTTTTAATAAATAATAAAATATTTTACTTCTATTTTCTATATGATTTAGCTATTCTTTGGTTTTGCTTTGCTTTTGGCAAACATCATAAGTGACAACTGATTTTTTTATTATTCAAAGGGAATAAAAGGAATTAATAATGGCATTTTATGTTGTTTAATTACTGATTTTCTGGAGGAACTTTATATGTGTTCAAAAACATTATCTAATTCAACTGATATTTCCTTCCTTCCTTCCTTCCTTCCTTCCTTCCTTCCTTCCTTCCTTCCTTCCTTCCTTCCTTCCTTCCTTCCTTCCTTCCTTCCGCCATGCACTTCAACCTAACAGGAAGATTTCCCCCTCCCCAAGTCCTCCTTTTAGTAAAAACATAGTAAAAATGACATAACTCCAAATTTATTTTATTTATCACAAAAGTGAGCTGGATCTCTTTAGAATGAGGTAGCACTATTAAGACATTTTGGGGGGCAGAATAAAGCCTGCTACTGTCACAATTTTGCTGTCCTGATTATCGTGTTAATTTGTTATACAACCAAGAAAAATATTTATTTTCCTGCCTCAAGATCCTACCCTTACTTGATCTTAAGTATTATGTCTCCCCCTCCTGGGATTTTTTGCTTGCTTTCTCAACCCAAGTGGGACTTTCCTAATCTGAAGATCAGGATGCAACTGTCAAGCATGCAAGAGTGCCACTTGGCATGTGCAGAATGCATTTTTCCTCTCATGTTTGAGTAGTCATAGTTGTAAGTGCCTCCACACATCAGCAAATAAGAGCCATAGACTTCAAAACAAGACTGACCTCCATTGTGTTTCTCTCAGAAAATACGCACTAAAAATGAATTGTAATTTTTTTAAATCAAAATATTATGAAAAATGCACTTTTCTGAGGATGGAGATTTTCCATGGTATTTTGATTAAAATTTGGAGAGTCTGTTTCTCAGGGGATGGGTTTATCTGCAAATGTGTACAAGATACATGGGTACTTTTTAAAAGCTGAGAGAAAAGCCTACCGTATATACTCATAGACAAGCCCCTCCCTGGATAATCCAAACCCAATTTGTAGAAGACTGTTTTGGCACTTAAAATTCTCATCTTATTGATGAGTATATACAGTAATCATCAGCGTTTCTAAGAAAGCTTATGTGATACAATTCAGACAGTCCATTTGTGAAGTATTTATTTATATGGCACAGCACTACAGGGTCAATTTGCATAACCAGGCTTGACGCTTGAAGAAATTTGTGGAAATTTGCTTCCCTTAAGGCATCTTCACAACCTGTTGGTTGACTGTAGTCTCAACAGGCTACTAGGGCATGGAAGGTTTTAGGCATGGCATCTTCCTTTAGATAACCCAGTTTCCTCCTTTTCTCACAATATGCATGCAATACTCACCACCTAAGCTTGAATTGTAAACAGAGTGCATTTGGATATTACGGCATGGAGAGTATTCAGAAAATTTCTGACGGTCTCCTGTGGCCAAGAAACAGCTGCCCACTGGAGTTTTGGTAGTCTCTTCCTCATTGTCCATGGCATTCCAGTGTTGCAGTGGAGCACAGGCCTGACAGTTTGAAAGGAGGAAAGGGGATGTTGTAGCACTAACAATCAGTGAGACACAATGAGCCTGTTGTGGAGTAAATGTGGCCAAACAAAATAATTTCAACTAAATCAACAAAAGGGGCAAGCCAAAGTCAACACTAGCAACTGAGCATTTTCTCAAGCCAAAATCAGACTTGTCATTTGGCGCTCCCTAAAAGAAACATCATTTGTAGTAGAGGGATAGAAGATCCCACCTATGTTTAAGATTCTATTACATACTTGCACACCCAGAGTTGTATGGGCCTCTTATTGTAAAATCTATGATTTCCTGCAGCAAACAAAGAGGTTAAACATTTATTTATTTATTTTATTTATTATTTAAATTTATATCCCGCCCTTCTCCTTGCGGCATGGACAGTGGAGACAAGACCAGTGGTCAGACTGTTTATCTAATGTTCTTTCCCTTCATTCTTCTTTGACATTAGGAAGCTTTGCTATAGTGGATAATACCAGTAGATAATAGCTCTCCAGATTTTCATTTCAGTTCCTGTCATCTCTCATTGACTTTGTTGGCTGGAGCTGAAAGGATTTGGAATTCAAAAATATCCAGAGGATCACACCTTGCCTGTCTTTCTGTAGATTAAGGGCAAAGGATTTCTCACCTCTGGTTAGAAAACTAGGAATGTACAAATGAGTGCGGGTCACAACTAGAATGAGGAGCCAACAGCACACATATAAAACTTCACTCAGGAATTTCTTTCAGCATGCTGCTTGAAAATGAACCAGAGATGCAGAAAATTATACAAATACAGTCTGAATTTAGTGTTTTGAAGTAATCACTAGAAAAGCAAAGCAATTCCAATGAACAATTCTTGGTTCCTTATCAAACTTTCAAATGTCTTTGTGGGATTTTTATTATAATTTGTTGTTAGCAAATTATTTTTATTTTAATTGATTTTAGCCCTTATAAGGCACCTCATATTTTTAAAATGGCTTTATTTCTTTAAATTGAGCTATAATAACTGAGGGGCAATATTTTCAAAGTGGCCTGTCAAAATTAAATCTGAAATCATTTGGCTAAATGTTCAGCTTTTGCTAAATATTATTTCAATTTTGGAGATTCTTGAAGAGAATCAGAAACCAGTACCCACCATGATATTTTGTTTCCATGTCTTTACAGATGCTCCAAACCATTGTTTAGACTTGAAGGTTTTCACAGTAATGAGACCAAGTTTTGCCACTTGATCACCTGGGTAGCAATAGAGGCATGGACAAAATACAAACAATTAAAGAAGATAAATACAATAAGCATTGCCCTGATCCCAAATAATTCCTGAGTTATAGATCTGTGATCTTGTACTACTATATCAAAATTATAGTTCCTAATCTGTTGCAGATCAGTATGCTGGCACTGGGCATAATCAATTTGTGACAAATGAGTAGAATTCTCCCTTTTCTCTCGTATCTTCTACAACTTCCCTATCCTGTCTCCATTATTTCCTTTTTTTCTCTCTTTCCCCAACATACTTTCTTACACCTCTTCTTGCTCCCCTTTGGACACCAAGATAGTGAAGCTAGAGGTGAACTGATCATTTGGACATGGTTTTTAAAATTGGAGTAAAGGCCACATAGGATCTCAGATCACATGAGTACAAAAAGATAGGATTACATTCATTCATTCCTCATATCAATTAGCTATCCCAAAAGCTTTCAAATGGTTTCCTCCTCCACCTTCCCACTTCCTGATGATGGTAGCAACTCCTCGTAATAGCTTCATGATCAGATTGTGGGAAGGTACTCACCTTTAGTATCAAACTCAATAGGGATGCATTTACTACCATTAGGCTTCCAAGGGCACATATACACAGCACCTGCTTCTATCACACCAGGCTGTGATGTGTTGGCCCGAGGGGCCCCCACGACTACATTCATGCTAGAGGAAAAAAAAGTGTTAGTATCTAGGTAGACAAGACCATCCATTAAGAGAAGATCAAAAATCTGAATGGATTTTTGTAACAGCTGGAGGGATTCTATTATACTTTGGATATTATTCTATATTAAACTTTTGTTAAGTTTGCAGTGCATTTTCCTGAAGAAAAAGAAGATTAATAGAGGATGTCTATTATTCACTTAAAAGATTCTGTTGTTAAGATGTGTTTGGACATGAGGTTACAAAGCAGGCAAGATGAATTGAAATAAGAATTTAGTAGATATGGTTCTCCTTTTAAACTAAAGTATATATTCTTTTACCACACAGACAACTGCATTATGATTGTTGCTTCCAATCTGTCTGCTGCATCTGACTCCTTATAGATTCCAAATTAGATTCAGGAGTATTTGATTCTATGAATTACCCAGAATGATGGGTGATGGTGATGGATCATCTAGACCAGGGGTCCTTAATCCCTGGACCAGTACCAGTCTGTAGCCTGTTAGGGACTGGATTGCATAGCTGGAGGTGAACAACAGGTGAACAAGTGAAACCAAAACCATCTCCCTACTAGTCTGTGCAAAAATTGTCTTCCATGAAACGTGTCCCTGGTGTCAAAAAAGTTGGGGGCCATTGATCTAGACTCTGCAGACATTCGTTGGCCTAGTTTGCATTTTCCACTAAGGAATGGCCCTGTGATGACCAGGGAAAGTAAGTTTTAGGACAGTAGATGTAGTAACTGTCCAAAGTATGCAGGATCTTGCCATACAAAGGGATAAAAAGAGATTTTTATTTTCTACTCCTCCATTAGGATTTAGCATGGGGTATGGTTCATGATTAATATTAAAATACTGTGGTTACAGTTCTCATGTGTTTCCAATTTTTAGCCTTTGCACCACTAATATTTAATGGAATAGTTGGAGGATATTTCTGGACAGCAATAACTGCAGTAGAAGTGCAATTAGTGTCACTTGACTCCTGAATAGATATAATTTATTGAATAAAATACAATTGGCAGGTTTGCTCAGTAGGATTTACAAACTATGGTGGCTATATTCTCAGGGTGACCCGCTCTCTCCTCCAACTGAGGGAGGGAGGGGGTCCCCTGGAGGGGAGGGCCGAGGACTTTGCGCAATATCTGCATGACAAAGTCGCTCGGATCTGAGAAGGCCTTGACTCTGACTGGGTGGCCCCGGGGGAGGAGACGGGAGCAGGTCTTGAGACTGTTGTATGGGAGGAGTTTGACTCTGTGGCTCCCGAGGACGTGGACAGGATCCTGGGGAGGCTGAATGCAACCACATGTTTACTGGATCCGTGCCCCTCCTGGCTAGTACTGGCGGCTCGGGAGGGTACACGAGCCTG